TCCATCATACATCAAAATTGACTTTTGCCCTCTGGTATACATTTCTATAAATTTTAACACACATATAGATTCACTTAACTGCCACCACAATTAAGGTACAGAATAGTTCCATCACCCTATAAATCTCCCTTAAGTTATCCCTTTGTATTACGTCTTCTCCCAACTCATAACTCCTGGCAACCACGGAAACCACTGTTTTCCATCACTGTACTTTGGTCTTTTTGAGAATTGCCTTTACTTTTGCTATCCTCTTTCCTTAATTTTGAAATGGAGGTCTCTGCATGTTTATAAGTGAGTGCCATGAACTCTAGACCCAATGGCAGCTGACTTTCTCCTCTATTGTTATTGCTTTGTTATTTGCTGTTGTTGATGCTTATTGGCATCCATTATGTACCAGGCACTTGTACTAAGCTTTTTACAGACATTGTCTCATTATAGCCTGATAAGATATGTACGCCATTGTTATTTCCATTATACAAATGTGGAAAGTGAAGGTCGGTGAGCTTAAGTGACTTGCCTAAGGCCTCACAGCTAACAATTAATTGAATCCCAGCACAAACCCAGCTCTATTTGACCACAATCCTTAAACATCATAGTAAGGAATAAACAGGAGATAATTGTAACTCGGAAGGAAGTACATCATGAGACACTGGGCAGGGCCAATTTGGGGCCATGTGGTTTTTAAAAAGGTTTGCAAATGTGTGTGAAGCTGGAGAACCATCTGTACTGCCTGACTTCTCCACCCCAGTGCCTGCCTTTAGGTCTTCCTCCACCTGCCTCGTGTAGTCCTTGCCTGACCCAGGTGGCACCTGCCTGCTGTTTCCAGGTGCTTTGGGTGGTTTCAGTCCCCTTACAAGTGTAGCAAAAACCACCGCTGGTGTCACAGCTCTGTCACAGGACACAGCAGCTGAGACTCAGAAATGGGGCTGGATGCCTTCTGGTTTCTGCCCAGCCTCAATTCCCCCAAGTGCTGTCTGACCTCATTTTTCCCCCTTGGTTGCTTGCAACACCAGCTTAAAAGGTTCTGGGACACAGCCACCTGGTCTGTGTGCTGGAGGTGGCAGGTGTGTTCTCGCTGAGATAGGGCAAGTGAGATAGGAATGTGTGTGGTTGGCAAAGAAGGGAGAAAGTCTGGCCCTGCAAGACCCAGGGCGGCAACGATTGTGTTGGGGACAGTGTGAAACAAAGGAAGGGAACGATAAAAGTTAATGAACAGTGAGGGATGCTGGGAAGGGGACCAGGTTCTTGCCCTGCATATGCTGTTCCTTTGAGCTTGCTCTTTGGGGAAGTGTAGTTGGCTAGCAAGTTTCCTCCTAGAATCAACTGCCAGGAAGAATCACGCATCTGAATCATGGCCATGGATCATTTGGAGACAAAACAAGCCAGAAATTAGGGTACCAAGGACCATCTCTGGAAGACACCTAATTAACAATTAAGGGGGGGGTGAAAGAGGGCATGTAATTTAGAGTGGAAAGTGTTGAGTCACTTCAATAACAATAACAGGTAACATTTATTGAGTACTTAATCTGAGCCAATCACTGTGCTAAGAGCTAATTGATATGAATCATCTCACTTATTTCTCACAACAACCTTCTGAAGCAGGCATTACAATTACCTCCAGTTTACAGACGGAGAATTGGCGGCCCCGAGGTTTAAGCAACTCACTCAAAGTATACAACCACTGAGGAGCAGCAGCAAGGTTTGAATACTGATGTTTTTTGAACCAAAGTTCTCAAGTACTTAGCTGTGTTGCTTTGCTGCCCATCTTAATTCAGAAATACTATGAAAGGGTAACAACGAGGAGGAAAGGAGACCCTTTTTTCCTTACTCAGGAGCCCATCATTTTCTCAAAAGCTTGCAAAGCTCCTTTGGCTTGCTGACAGTCTGGGAGGGAGTAAAAAGTGGTGGGATGTACAGTCAGGGGCCCCCAGGAGTTTGTTGATCTTATTGCTGGTTTGAAATAATCGCATGCTGTAGAAACCTACAGCCATTTCTCAAGTTTTCTTTTTACACAATAGGCTTGGGAGAGTTTTAGGCAGGTAGGCACAATGGGCTTTTTTTTTCTCTGTTGGGCTGGCATCGTGAAGTGTGACTACTGGTTCCACCCCAGCATGCTGGTTGGCACAGGGAGCACCAGGCCTCTTTGAGCCAACAGAAAGACCTCGATAAGCTTGTTCATTAGAGGAGCCTCTGGGAGCAAGACAGACTTTTGACTTAAACAGCTCATGGACGGGAAGTTAAATGAACTCTCTCAGACTGCCAGGTTCACATCAAGTCCTCTGAGGGAGGTGTTTTACAAAATGGTACCCTGCGACAACAGGTTATTTAACGTTTCCTTAGAGGAGTACTTGGTACTTAGTATTACCCTGGCCTGGGCTCATCATAGACTCAAGTCCAATGATAAATACCTATTATATTCTCCAGCAAGGACTATCACTCCTTCTGCATTTTGTAGAATGCCTCATGCACAGCAGGGCAAATAAACAGTCAATAATAATGTTTACAATGATAATGATCTTCCAAATGCCTTTCATCTATGGATCGGGCAGAGTGCCTTGCAAACACTAATTAGTTAAGCCTCGTGGGGACTCTCTGATTTTACATTTTCCCATTTTACAGAAATTTAAATTGAGACCCAGCAAACTTAAGTGGCTTGCCCGAAGTCATACAGCAAGTTTAAATTAATGATAATGATGATGCATTGCATTTCCTGTAATGCATATGCATTACATAGCAAATGTTTTCTAAGGTGATACAAGCACATTGCAGAGATAATTTTCACAGTCTCCAGGAAGGTGGGTAGTGACTATTATTCACTGTTGACTAGATTGGGTAAACTGAGGCTAAGAGGGCCAGTGAATTTGACTCAGGATGCAAATCCTCTCTGCTGACTCTCAGAACAGAGGGTGACAACTGGGACCACTCTCAATTTCTACACTGCATGAATGCTTTTGCACTTACAGCAAAGATAGCTATATTTTGGGAGTAGAACAGGTTGCGGAATGTCAGCCATGTTTACATAGATCCAGGAAGAGTTTGTTCATGTTCCCATTGAGAGAGGCTAAAGGGATGAGATGAGGCACTTCAAGAAAGGGAGGCTCAGCAAACGAAGGAAACGGGGGTGGGCAGGGGTGGCCACCAGCTCTGCTTTCTTACATCTTTAGGAAAGCAGGAGCCCTCAGCAGCTTGGTTCTGTGTTCCAGCCTCATGGGCAGGACGTAGTCCAGTGAGCCTCGGGGGATGGGCCACCCCTGGCACCTGGGTCTGATGTTACAAGTCCCTGTGAAAGAGTTCCAGGGACATGCAGTATCTTAACAGCAGTCGCTCACATATCCCCACACCTTCCTCTGCCAGGAGCGGCCTGGAATCCTCTAGGGTTCAAAGACTTGGTTGCTATGGATCCATTATAGCTACCTTCTCTTAGCCACATAGAAAAAGATGAAAACGTGAACAAAAACATTCAAAAGCGGTAAGGGACTTGCCTCCTCCCAGTCTGGCAACCCTTTCTCAGTGAGGAATGATACTCTACCAAGAGGCAAGTCAGACTCTGCAGAGTTGGGGAGGGGAGAGGTTGCTGGGTCTTAGGAATTCAAAGGGAGATTTGCTGGCAGGACACAGAGCCCATTCTCTACAAGATTCTTTACAAACAAGACGCATCTGAGAGAGGCTTGCTCCCCACCTGCCTTTTCCAAGCCTGTGGATTCTGACTGTTGGCTAGACCTAATAGGGAGACTTGAAGAAGGGCTCCAAGCCCTTTCCTGGAATGTGTTTCACACACACCAGCACAATGGCAATAAAGTCTGCAGTGACAAAATCACCAATGCCCATTTCTTCCTGCCCTTGTTTTTGAACGTTTTCATGCCCCCATATTGCACGGCCAGCTTGAAGGTGCAGAGAAGCAAAGGAGGGGTGGGCTCTTGCAAGAAATATTTTAGAAAATTGTCCTGAATGAACACACATCATAAGCCTATTCTCCTCCGTTGGGAAGAAATCCAACAGACCCTCCCACCCACTGTCACTCTTCATGGGCAGAGAGTCCCAGGACACTGCTTGCCAGTATTAGAGCCCACGTTATTCACAGAATGCAGTTTGACTGTCTAAGTATGCCAATGGCTCAGGCCACAGCTTGCCATGTTCACTTTGGCACACTGACTCCTGGGGTGACAGTGCAAATAATCCCGCTGGACTCTCAAGGACCACTTCCTTACCGAGAGATGTGGCCTTACACAGTTTCTCCCAACAAGACTCATGGCCAGGTTGGACACAGTCCTCAGGGTACACTTGCACGGCTAGGCAGAGTGGTCCGCACTGTCCTGAACACCAAAAGCACTGCTGGGTAGCGTCCTATATGGCTCTACTGGGTATGTTCATTTTGCTATTGCAGCTGCTGAGGTGCGTTTTGTGTGTTTTACTCACTTTGCAAGGTAAGACACATGTGCTGTACTTTGCAGCCCAACCTTTCCCATCAGTCCACCCACATATATGCTTCCCTCCTGCTTGACCTCTGGGGGTCAAGTCTCTTGATAGCTTAGAATGGATTGTGAACGAACATTGTCATAATAGCCCTTTATGACTAGGGTCGGCGCAGGGGTGGGAAAATGGATTCGGGTAAAATGCAAACAAAACTGGACGTTTGGGAATTTCTCAGAGACCCCCAAAGCAACAAGCAGTTGAATTTGTTTTCTCTCTCGTTCCCCTCCTTCATGCATGTTCTGTGTACTGGGATGGCCTCAGAGCAACAGAAGTGAAAGACCAAAAATATAACCAAGCAGGCTTCCTTATCCAACCACCTTTTGCACAAGAAACGGGGGTGCTTTAGCAATCCCAGTAATCCCAGGAAGGGTTAGATAGGCTTAGGGCTCCACCGCAGAAATCTGTCTTCGGGGAGCCCTGGCAACACCTCTTTGCAACTGAAACTGAAAGAGATAAATCCGAACCGCTGGCATACACAAATCCCACCTCCAAGTGTACATGAGATGAACAAATGAGATCTTTCTTACCCCATCCATGTGGATTCTGATATTAGGCACGAGCCGGAAAGAGCCGGACTGCAGAGCTCTGGGGTTAGTCCTGCTTTTCCTGCCGTCCTGCAAGGTCAGCAGGCCGGGCCTGCGGAAGGAGCCCCCTCTCACGGAGCTCTGCCCGGAACGCACGCCATCCAGGAGGCGCACGAGCAGCAGGTTGGCCGGCAGCGCCTCGATGCTGCAAAACACCGGGGTCCTGCACTCGGGGCACCTCAGCTCCTTGCGGGCCTTGAAAATCCTCTGGAGACATGGTTTGCAGAAGGTGTGCTGGCAAGGGAGGACCTTAGCTGTGACGTCGAGCTTTTCAAAGCACACGGGGCACTCCAGAAGATCAAGTAACGTCAGGTCATCCATCTTATTTTAAAACCCAGGTCCTGACCCAGAGGGGCAGAGTCCGCATGGTAGAGTCAGCTGAGCTGCGGAGGCAGAGCCGTTCTCTTGAGAGTGTCAAAATTCCTGCCTGTTTGAAGGAGAAAGGCAGAGAGGGGGACAAAATGTGACTGCTCTGAGAGATATCCACCTACGGGGAGGCAGTGCCTCATAAAGCAGTTCACAAGGACTTTGTGCCAGCACTCGAGTTTCAGATGACTCATTCTGATTCAGTGCTAGCAGGTAGAAGTCCTGACTCCTGCCTGCGGGAGGATCCGACGGAGCAGTCAGCACTGCCACGACTTATTATTCATTACCTCTCCAGGAGCAAGGCAAGAGCAGGGAGGCCAAACGAGCCTGTTGAGGTGGCATACCCCCTCCGGCTCCCAGCCAGGGCTCCAAAGGGGTCCTTTACCCCTCCAGATGGCCAGTCTCAATTCCTAAATCAAAGTGTCCTCAGAATGCTGATCTCTCTCCCTCCCACCCCAGGTTTATCATCTGCAGCACATGCCGCATGAGTTTACCTGGGTAAGTTTATCTGAATCTCCTGCAGATGTGGAAATATTTCCTTCACCACGCACCTCCCCCCCTTCATTTTGTTCTAGCAAGATAGAAGGAGAGCTCCTACTAGAAACCCATTTGCAAAGACAGAGACAATAGCCTCAGAGACAATCTTCCTCCCACAAGATAAAGTCAAGCAGCCTGTTTAGTTACGTTGACAATTGTTTTCAGTTTCAACTGAAGCAGATAGGAATTCTAGATTGTGCAAATACCAAGACGGAGGCAGTAGACAGGTGTGTGTGTGTGTGTGTGTGTGTGTGTGTGGTGTGTGGTGTGTGTGTGTGTGTGTTGGGGGGGGTGGGGGCAGTCCTGTTCCAGAAAGTTTCCTTTTGGATGTCTGAAAAGAAGTCTCCAGTTTAGAAAAGTCTCCTGGGAATAGGTCAACTGTCCCCTACACCTGCCGAGGCTTGGGTGAAGGCAGCAGCTGGGGAGGTTCGGCAGGAGGGTGGATGGCCCCACTGGGAAGCCAAGCACTCCTGGCACACCAGGGTGAGAGATGGCGCCTCGCTTTCCTGACACAACTCTGCCAAGGTGTCAGCGCTGGGGAGGCGTGGGGTGGGCCACTAACCTTGAGCTTGTAACCCTGGCTCAGCACGACCCTCTGCTCTGCTCGGCCGGGCTCCCTCTGCCTTGCTTCCTTCTCAGAGCGGCACTGCCGCGGCGCTGCGGCTGCTTTGAAAACTTTAACAACTCCGAGGGAGTCTTACTCATTTCAAGGGATCGCCTTACCCAGCCCTGTTAACCCTTTCGCCACTGGGAGGCCAGCAGCTTTTCGCAGGAGGTTTTCTTTGGGTTTACCCTCTGCGACTGATGTTTCCTGTATGTAACTGAGTTGATTTCTCGGAAAAGATTCTAAAGAGCAAAATATAAGTCAGCCCCGCAGGCCAAGTATTTACAGTTTATATTTTCACCTTTCTCAATTTCTCTCCCATCTAACAGGTTGAAACACGTTCAGCTGTAAACATGTGAAGGAGACTGTTTATTTTAAACCTTTGTAAGGATTTCTTGAAAAGGTCAGCCACATTCACGGTGGCTATGATAACACAGACAAGCTGGTCACCAATAAAGTACTGCTCTTTAAAAATAATAGTCAGTCCTAGAATTTAGAGATCTGAGAGGGACTTTAGGGACCTTTTTGTTCAATCTTTTTCAACTAAGAAAAGTGTCATGGTAATACATACACATCCTTGAAAACTCACAAAAGGGCTTTAAAAATAAAAGAAAAAGCAACAAACCCAGTTCTCCCCCTGCCCGCTGCCTCCTGCCTGGAGACTTTTCATAGCCCCATCTAATGCTTATACTTCTATTTCTTGATTTGTCAATAATATATTTCATGGAAAGTCACAAAGATGATTTAATAAATTATAACAATATTTATTATTGGCCCTATCTGTGCCAAGCACTGTCCTAATTACTTCACCTCTAGTAACTCATTTCATCCTTTTAACAACCTGATGATACACTACTCTCTTCTTTACCCTCATTTTACAAAGGAGGAACTAAGATTCAATACTAAGATTCAATAACTCATCCCAGGAGTCACAGCGAGTGGGAGGCAGGTGGACCTGCTCCTAACTACTATGTCTGGTGGTGATATCGCTTTAAGGGGAGGAGAGCTATCTGAAGGGAGCTAAACCTCCTCTGATATGGCAGGAAGTCAAAAGATATGACCCAAATTGGCCAGTCAACTTTTATAGAGGAGGCACTTGTGCCCAGAGAGATCAAGAGATTCTGAAGTTGCCCAGTGAATTAAGGGCAGAACTGGGACTAGAAACTGGCTGTTGTGGTGTTGTTTTTTTTTAAAACTGTATCTTCCCTCTCAACATAAGGGTGGCGTATCTTCATTAGGTGGAAAGCACTCAGGTATACCTCCTTGGCAAATCTATAGAGGAGAATAAGAGGCCTGAGAAAAGTTTGTGATGGTTCGCATGTTTCTGAGTTCTTCCGTATCAGCTCTGAAAAAGGAAACACGCTGGAGCTCAAGACAGGGGAACGCTTTAGGATGGAGCGAGTCAGAGGCCTCGGTTGGGAACTTGTCAACTCTGGAGACGATTTTCAACTCTTTGTTTTTTAAACCTCCCTTGTGTGGAGGGTGTTTGAGCTTTAACAATATCACATCCCATTATGTTTCCCGTCTCCTTCACTTTTTTAGATTCCGTGCTCCTCAGGAAGCTTCTTGCAGTCTGAGGCCCTTGGCTGTCCCTTACTTGGGTGGGCAACAGCTTCCCTCCTCTCCCCTCTTGTTCTTTTTTTTAAGATTTTATTTATTTTTTGTTAAAGACGAGGACGGGAGGAAGAAAGAGAGGGACAGAAACATCAATGTGTGGTTGCCTCTCACACACCCCTTACTGGGGACCTGGCCTGCAACCCAGACATGTGGCCTGACTGGGAATTGAACCAGCAACCCTTTACTTTGCAGGCCTGTGCTCAATCCGCTGAGCCACACCAGCCAGGGCTTCCCTCTCATTCTTAAACACACACCCTTAGATGTCCAAATCTGCACCTACATGCACATACATGCACACATATGCTTGCATAAGGGCAAACACACACGTGTAATCTTATTAGTAACATTTATGGAACACTTACTGTATGCCGTGGACCAGTGCCTAGACTTGAAACAGATTATCCCTAAATCCTCCTAACCAGCCCATAAGATAGGTGCTGTACCTTTACTAGGGTCACACATCTTGTGATCTGAGCCCAGGTTGGTCCAGTCCCAGGGCCTGTGTTCCTTCCCATGATTGCTTCTCATGTTATAAAGCTATGTACACATCATGAGTCTATCCATATACCTTTGCTATATAAATCCACATGCATTTATACCTCTGTCCACACTGTATACACCAGCTGCTCCCAGGGCCGGCCCGAAACAAAGTGATGAAGTTGAAGGAGCTTGGGCCGCTCTGACTCTCACTCTCTGTAACCTGCCCAGTCTCACGGCCCCTCCATGCCCTATGTGGTTAGCAGTCTCGGAAAGCTTCAAACCCTCTCCTCCCTAAGAAAATACGAAACAAAAATCCATTTCTGCCTCAGGACGGTGGGATAGATTCAGTGGGCTGCTCTGTGCTGGCACGCTTGGCGATCGCAGGAAGATCCAGCAGAACAGAACCGTGGTGGCAGAACCTTAGGCACTAGTGAAGGATAGAGACAGTTTACACTGAACAGGAGTGGTCTTTTAGCACTTCTCAAATCACACCTTGTAGGTGGTCCCCAACCCCACCCACGTACAAGGTTAATCTTGGTGGAAACTGGAGGAGAAAATTTTCTTTTGAAGCTTCTGAAGAAGGGGCCGAGTTTTAAATGGGGGCTTATCCTGGCTTACCCAAATGCTGCCTTGGCGTCAAATCAGATGAACCTCTAGTCCTCAAACACAAACACAAAGGTGACTTATGCACACCTTCCAAAGCTCCAGGCTCAGCCCCCCGCCCCGCCGCTCCCACCCCATCAACTCTCCTGTTTATATTTGCACTGTTCCATAGTGATTACACACTGTACTTTTAAAAAATACCCGTGTGACATTTATGAGCTTCTGCCGCTTGTATTTACAAGTATATCTTGATTTATGTTACCAAAAAAGAAAGAAAAGAAAAGAAAATCTGATCATATTGTTTTCCTGTTCAGAACCCTACGGTAGGTTCCCACTGAGCACAGGATGTAATCCTGCTCTCAACTAACAGGTCTGGCATGACCTGGCTCCTGCCCGTCTCTCCTGCCTCGACTTACCCCGCTCCTCCCCTCGCGCCTCCCCTCCAGTCCCACCGGATTGCTTTCTGTACTCAGGACAGTTTAAGTTTTTCTGTCGCAGGGTATTTATTTGTTCATGCTCTTCTTTCTGTGTGCAATACACTTTCTAGCTACACTCTTCCACTCTTCCCACTCTCTCCCCTCACCATGCCTTTGTCTTCTTCACCCCCTCCTCTGTAAGTTTTTGCTTAAATGCCACTTCCTCAGGGAAGCCTTCCTTGATTCTCGTGACTAGAAGGCTGATCATCCTGCCCTTCTCCTTCATACCAGGTATCACAATTGTAAGTCACTAATTATGTTATAATAATTTATTTAATGACCGATTCCCCCAAGTAGACTGTAAGCTCCAAGGAAGCAAGGTGTCTGTGTGTCTTATCGCTGCTCTATCCCCCATGTCTGACACAACGGCTGGTATGTGGCCGATGCTTCATTAATTGTTGCAAATTGTTTTAGAAGTGAGTAAACTGTGTTCTTAAAAAATTGTGTCTGGGCAGATGTACCTCTGAAAATGGAAAATCAGTTTCATTTGCTGTAATTTGAAGGCAAAAGTAAATACACATTTAATTAAGGCAATAAAATGTCATTGAAATTCAGTTCAACCTGTAGCCTGTCTAGATCTGAACTTGAGGCCTGAGCGATGGGTAGAAAGGGGGGATTAGCAAAGGTTAGAGGGGCATTCAAGACTAGCCCTTAGCTGAGGCTTGGTATAACCAGAGGAGTGAAGGAGAAATGCATAACTTTCCCCTGGTGCGATTCTGTGTTCCTCGTTTTTAGTCGGGGCACCCCAGGCTCCGGGAGACTGTCGAGGTGTGTCATAAGGAGCTGAGGTGACAGGGAGGAGCCAGAAAGAGGGGAGAGCCGACTCACTTTCTGTTCCCTAAGCGGTGGTTCACCACCTCTGCCTCTGATGAGAGAGTCTCACTTGCATTTCTTCCTTTTGATTTTCAATAAAAGGCAGTAGTCTGAGAAACACAGTTGTAGTTTTTCCTCTATGGAAGATTAGAAGGGAGTTCTGAAGGCAGCGGTGGGAGAGGACAGAGTAGAAGAGGAAGAATGCATCTCAGCATTCTATTAATATTAAAACATGATTCCGCTAGTTGAACCCAAGTAACGCTTGTAGTCTAGTTATTATTTTGTACCAATGTCAATTTCCTGGTTTTTAGAATGCATTATAGTTATATAAGATGTTACTATTGGGGAAAGATTGGTCAAAGCTTCAAGGGTCTTTTCTCTACCATTTTCGCAACTTCTTGTGAGTCTATAATTATTTTGAAATAAATAAAAAAAACATATATATAGCCAAAGTCTTACAAATATACACCTACTTTTAAATGCCACTTCTGGAAATTTGTACTGATTAACAGATGTATAGCCAAGTATGTTCCTCATATAATCACTCACAATAGTAAAACTTTAAAAACATTCTTAATGTCCAACAATAGGGGAGTGGATAAATAAATGATGAATTTATACATATGTGTGTGTGTGTATATATGGCAAAAGTAGGTTTATAGTTTATATGGAAAATAATATAATAATAAATTATACAAGAACAAACTGTTTTGCCTACTCACATCTGTAACCTACTTTTCCCCCACTGTGTGTGTGTATGTGTATTCTTAAAAATTATAGTGAAGATATACATTTAATGACATGAAGGAAATCCACGATTAAGTGAATACACTCAGAATCTAAGAAGACACAGGAGCGCAGGTTATTTGGGGATGGCACACAGATATATAATATTGAGACTGGAAACATGTATGCCCAGATTTCAGTGGCAGTTATTTCTGGCCCCTGGGCTTATTTGTTGATTTTAACTTTTTCACTTTGCTCATTTGTATTTGGACCGACAATGACATGTTCCTGGGGTAAGAAGTTTTCAAAGATAAAAGTAGCTTAAATTATTATAGATACAATAAAACATTTACAATG